CTCCGTGTAGCTAAAAAGCTTGTCTCTCTCGCCAACAGAGATTGGTCCATAAAATATATTACCTCACCCATCTGGTCTCTCTAATATCCTGGAACTAAGATGTCTACAACAAACAGAGCTAACAACACAGCATGTTTTTTTCTTAATTGTTAAGTAAAGGTATATTAACTCTAATCTAAGAGTATATTGTTTATATAACTGGTACTTTTGGGTTAGACTCATGGCATAGATTAACTCAAGTTTATTCCTGGAGATTCCCAAGCCATGCCAATGTGCACTGACAGGGCCCAGCAAGGCAGAGCCACCACCCAGATTAATTTCTTTTATAAGCAAAAGGATAGAAGATTCCCACCTATTTAACACCACAACTGGGATACTAGGATCTCCTTTACTGTTGACATCATCAGGCACCTGGGCACACAGGTGAGTGTTGCCTGATCCTTAGTTACCAGGGAAGTGTTAGGTGAGAAAAGTTAAACATGAAGCAGTTATCCCAACTGAACCAAAGTCAGGCCAAGAGAGGCTGCTGGGAAAGTTTCTAAAAGTAGAATGAAGAAATATTTGTTTAAGTTACAGAGAGTGAGAAAAAAGGGGAGGCTTGCATTCCTGCATTTTTGTACCAGATGTTCTGGGAACAGTCCTTGAGATACAGAGGCGCTGTTTTCCACTCCCTGTTCTTGTGTTATGTCTGTTTTTAACTCCTCGTCTCCTGGTTGACACCCATACCGATAAGAAAGTCGGTGAAGCATTACAATTTGCTAAAAGTTATCTACAATAAGGGGGTAGAAGTGCACGCATAATAGAGAAAGAGGATTTTAACTAACATGGGGGGGTGGGCTGCTTCATATGACGCGACGGGACTGTCCATAAAAACCTATTAGTTTTACTTAGAAGCTGCTGGTTCTCTTTGGAGATGGGCTGCTCTCTATAGTTGTGTGCACTCTTCAATAAAGAGCTTTGTGTTCAGACCTTGCTGGTGTTGCCTGTCTCTCTCCAGACACCGAACTGTGCCGTCTGGGGTTCGAGTCCTCGACAGAAGGAAAAGGGATGTTACATAAAGTTTAAGCAGAAATCTGTAGGCCATTTCGGTGTATGAGAATAACAATTACCTGATTATAAAAAACATAATAGGCAGCAGGTTTAAAACAAATAAAAGGAAGTATTTCTTCACACAACACACAGCCAACCTGTGGAACTCCTTGCCAGAGGATGTTTTGAAGGCCAAGACCATAACAGGGTTAAAAAAAGAACTAGATAAATTCATGGAGGATAGGTCCATCAATGGCTATTAGCCGGGATGGGCAGGGATGGTGTCCCTAGCCTCTGTTTGCCAGAAGCTGGGAATGAGGGACAGAGGATTGATCACTTGGTGATTACCTGTTCCATTCATTCCCTCTGGGGCACCGGGCACCTGGCACTGGCCACTGTCGGAAACCAGGATACTGGGCTAGATGGACCCTTGGTCTGACTCAGTGGAGCTATTCTTATGTTCTTATAAATCTTGAGATTTTTCAAGTGAACCCTAGCTTCTTATTTGAACAAACCTTGGTTCCAGATAAAAGCCATGTTAATCTCCATGGGAATTTGCAGTTGGTACTTCGTGCAGGGATTGAAAACAGTACACTTTTAGGCCCAGAATGTCTGTGTATGACCCTTTCTGTGGCTGTATTAGGTTGAAAGAGAGAGCAAGAAATTCCCCCTGCCCTATTTTTTTTCTCTGTCTGTGCCTCAGCCATGCAACATTGCCGTCCCTGCCCGCTACACAGCTCAGCCCTCTCTTCTTCCCAGGGGAAGGACTCCACACATCAGCTGGAAGAGTGGGGTTGGTTGGTGAACCAGGGGAATAAACCACAGCAAAGGAGAATACTCGGGAGGGGCTGTTTTAATTTGGGGTGAGCTGGCTCTGCAGAGCACTCATGCTGGACTGGGTACAGAAGTCACAACCTAGCCCTAACGAGCATTGTAAATACAATCTTCTGCTATCCCAGAGGTAATTTTGTTACAGAACAATGCAAGGGATAGCTCTGAAAGTCGTGGATGTGGGTCAAAAACCCCTTTGAAACTGTATCCTACTGACCACATGACAAAAGAGATGTTTTATATAGGAGTCACTTCTTGCACCAACTATTCACAGACAACAGCGAACTTCCTGCTAAGTTGAGGTAGCTGTGTGGACAGAAACTGTGAGGTTTCATTTGGTTTTAACTTGAACCTGTGTCTCGGTTATCTTGTCAAGTGTTCATTTTGGAAAACAAAGGAGGAGAAAGAACAAGAGATTAGCAGCATTTGTATAAACAGTCACAATTTTTAAAAGGTTTTAAAACTTATGTGGGGGATAAACTTGGCTCACTCTGACCACAGTTACCAGGGAATAGAAGGAAAGAAATCATGGGTTATTTTTTAGCCATTTCCCCTTTTTAAAATATACAATTTAAAATACACAAGGGTCAGTCAAGAGTTCATCCTTGGTAAATGTTTTTCAGCTAAAATAAGCCCACAGCAGATGCCATGGGATGGATAACTGGCATGCTTTCATACAAATCTAATATTTTACACCTTATGTTTGTCCTCCAGGATGATTTTCCTGTTCATTTTATTAATCCCCATTAATAATAAAGAGAGAAGAGTAACATACAAATGTGTTTTTTCTATAGCTAATAATTTCCCAATGATTATGGTAAAACAGCAGTGACATTTTCAGCTCTTTAAAATTATGCAAATTATTGAGAGGGTAAGTACAGTAGCTCTTCTCTGTAGTCGCAAAAAGAAAAGGAGTACTTGTGGCACCTTAGAGACTAACAAATTTATGTGAGTATAAGCTTTCGTGAGCTTTTTTTGAAGTTGTTTTGTTGAAGAATTGCAACTTTTTTAGTCAAAAACAGATTCCAACGAGAGACTGCTGAATTGGAATTAATTTGCAAACTGGATACAATTAACTTAGGCTTGAATAAAGACTGGGAGTGGATGGGTCATTACACAAAGTAAAACTATTTCCCCATGTTTATTTCCCCCTGCACCCCCCACTGTTCCTCAGATGTTCTTGTCAACTGCTGGAAATAGCCCACCTTGATTATCACTACAAAAGGTCCCCCCCACCCCGCTCTCCTGCTGGTAATAGCTCACCTTACCTGATAACTCCAATGAGTCCAGTTTGGCCAAGTTAGCTTGTAACTACAGATTTGGATTTGATTTTTCCATTTGCTCTGGATAAACTGGATACAAAGACCTTTCCTTTCTAACATATTCTATAACAAATTCAATTTCTAGTGCAGGGATGATTCAGACTTGGGTTCCTTTAGATTTAAAGCATCACAATTTAATGCAGCTGTAGGGATTGGAGTCAGAATTTCCCCTTATATGGGATGGGTAAAATTGAGGTCACTTGTGTATCAAGTTTTGCAAAAGCTTTCAAGTGAAGTTTTGGTTTTGAGAAACCAAATCCAGGGAAGCCAGATTCTCTGATCCACTAAGGCTAATTTGCACCACGTAAACATTCATGCTCCTCCGATCTGTTTTTTATATCTGTTGTCTTTTAACTGATTCTAATGCTGCCTTTTGACACACTGGTGCAGCAGTCTGGCTACACAGATGGCAATGCAGGAGAGGTGCCTTAGATGTAACTCTGCAGGGTAGGGACTGTCTCATCAATATACGCTTATCTCATCTAGCCCAGTGGTGCCCAACCTCATTACACAGGAAAGCCACATAAATCTAAGCACAACCTTCTGAGGACCAAACAGATTCTGTTTTGTATGGTATTTAGATAGATTGTTTCTGTATACAGTATTGTCTATTTAAAAACAAATAAAGAAATCAGTGCATAAAACGTGTATCCGAATTATAGACAACACAGTAAAGAACACATAGCTAAACTAAATGACATAAACATGATGACTAGGCTGTTAATATATTGTGTTGAAACAGGCCACGGGCCTTATGAATACTCTGGAGGGCCATGTACACCCTGCAGGCCATAGGTTGGGCACCCCTAATCTAACACAATAGGGCCCCAATCCCAGATTGAGGTCTCTAGGTCCACTCCAATATAAAATAAAATACCATTCATTGGGGGAGGCTCTTCACTGTTTAAAAACTAAATGCTAGTTGCTTTGCCAAGTTCTTCAGAACCAGTCACTATCTTACATTGCTAATAAGTGGAACCATCACTCCATTTAACAAACTATATATGACTGCTGTTAGCATTACCCAATGCGTATTCACATTCTCATGTACTTTGACACATTCAATTCTAATAGTTAAAAGGTCTAATTTCTTTTCCAGCATTTTGGACAGATTGATTTTTTGGGTACAATTTTTCAATAGAAGAAATAAAGCCAACTCTACCCTTATCTTTTATTTTCAATTTAGCTTCAGAAATTAAAATTTCTGCTATATAATTGAACCAAAATTATCTACAGCTTTCCAGTGCTTTTCATTTCATAACCGTACTGGGAATAGCAATCCAAGCCAGTGATCAAGTACAAGTCACCTGTTCTCAGTGAACAGTGCATTAGAGTACAGTGAAGTATTCCCCTCCATTTTAGCTGCTTTTCCAAAAGAATTTTAACAGTCACAATGGGCTTCTCTATAGTTGGAAAAAACTGTAGCTTCTTTCCCCCCAAAATAATACTATTGTATTTATTTCCAGTTCACCCAAAGGAAAAGGATTGCCAAATGTATCCTGTGCATGTTTGGTGCTCTGCCACACAGCACTAGAAATTGAATTTGTTATAGAATATGTTAGAAAGGAAAGGTCTTTGTATCCAGTTTATCCAGAGCAAATGGAAAAATCAAATCCAAATCTGTAGTTACAAGCTAACTTGGCCAAACTGGACTCATTGGACTAGCTTAGGTAGCAAATGAGACACATTACTGCAATGAATTGAAATTATGTCATCCAATGATAATAATAATTAGTTCTTATATCACGCAAAGAACATGATATTAAGGTTATTCCAGTGTTTTTATTTAAGGGACTTCTTTAATCAATTCTCTTCTGTTTATTCACAACATACATATGTGACCTATAGTGAAAGCAAGAGACCGAAGTAAAGTGGTAGGTAAGATGCTTGTAGTATTATCGGATCTGCCAGCTACCTTGATCAGAGTATAAGTGTTCAGCTATTCCTGCCCGCCAGCCCTCTCCAAGTGTCTTGAATCACATTCAGGAAAATTACAAGTCATGGGAACAAATCTGGATTTTGAATTATCTGAAACAAAAATAAACACACTAAAGGGTATGTTATTTGGGAAAGAGTGTATCCCAACAACATATTAACGTTAGCCAGTGCATATAGGTTTTACACACACACATACATACCATTAATATGTGTAACAAAATCAAGGGCAGCCTGATTCAGCAAATACTTAAGCACATGCTCATTGACTTCAATAATTTTCAGTTGTTTAAGTGCCCTGCTAAATAAACAGGGTATTACTCGCCTACTTAAAGTTAAGCTCATGCTTAAATGCTTCACTGAATGAAGGTCAAAGAGTTCTCTGAGCACTTGTTCCATAAGGTTACCTTTTTTCTCCATGGATTCTTCCCCCAATATTCCCGGGTCAGCACAGGCGGGGTACTTGGCATTGTTAACGCTCACTGTTACAGGTCTTAAGATACTTTGGGCAGGTAATCTGATTACAAATTCATCCGGCATCAGTTAACTATTCATTCATCCATCTTGTGGGTAATTTTCAAAGACATTTTTAATTGAGTTATATTTAAACCCTGTTTTAAAAAAAAAGAGTAAGGTTTGGAGAGTTTGAAAAGTCATATTCAGCAAAAAAAAGTAATTCATGCACCCTCTCGTTAATAACCTCTTATGTGCTTTAATAATTTAAACTAATTATCAATGGGAATGTCTTCTGTGTATACTTCAAGAATTGCTTTTAGTATATTTTCTCTCTTCTTTCATGTAGCATGCCACTTGTCCTCAATATGTCTCCAGTGCCTCTTATCACTGCTCCTCTTGTATAATAAACTTCTCATCTGTGAGAATGACCTTGACACGGTGTAAAAAAGTTCTTTAAAGGATAGCTCAATTAAAATCGAATACCTCTACTTAGGATTTTATTTCATTATTATTCATAAGACCATGCAACACTATTTGAGCCACGAGTTCTCATGCAACTTGAATGGTTGTTTCAAAAGGAATCATCATTAAAATATTTTTTTATTTCTCTGTATGCCCTGTTGATTTATAGTCAGCAGGGAGCTCCCTTTGGACTTGGCAGAGGCCTCTGTTGAACATTTATGCTGTCATGGGTAAATGGTTTCAGCTGAGAATTCATTTGGAGCAGATAATTCTAGCTAGTAGATGACGAGAGTGGTTAGTGGGTAAGTCAGGTGTAAATCTACTTACCATATTTGTGGTCTGCCCAGTTTAAATGAGTGTGGAAGAGAGTGTAGTTTGGAGGATACAGACGTGAACTGAGAGTCAAGAGTCTTGAGTTGTGTTTCTGATATTGATTAACCTTGGGATATTCAGTTAAGCTGAATTCTTGTTTATGCTGTAAATGAGTGTTATAATTGCCTATCTCACAGAGGGTTATGGTGCTCAATCAATTACTTTTGCAAACTACTTTGAGAGCCATTGGCAAAAAGCCCTATATCATAGAATCATAGAATCATAGAATATAAGGGTTGGAAGGGACCCCAGAAGGTCATCTAGTCCAACCCCCTGCTCGAAGCAGGACCAATTCCCAGTTAAATCATCAATGTATATGTATATATGAAGTAGAAAGCATTGTTTACCTGACTCCCAAGCTAGTCTTCCAGAAATAATGTATTTGCCTAGCCATGGAAATTCACCTCTCTGAAAAAATCTGTTCCTTGGCCTTAAATGTGCACTAACACCCTCATCAGTGAATGCAGGGCCAGCCAAATGGCACTCTGGGTGAGGAGCGTCTTCAATGCCCCTACATCTCCATTTGTTCAACTTTTAAACCTTATTTTTTATTGCATTTGTAGCCCATTTCATGACTTTGATACATGATTTACGCACTAGGATCTGTAAATCTGTATTTAGTCATGCCATATATACACAAATAAAATAACTGTTTCCTCTAAGCTTATAAAAACTTTTCAAATTTAAGAATAAATTAAATGTTGTAAGATCAAGATATTGAACTGTGATCCAACACAGGGTGGACCAGTATTAAATAGTGTTACAGTAGGTGTCAAGGTTCCTTCCCCACCCTGAACTCTAGGGAACAGATGTGGGGACCTGCATGAAAGACCCCGAAGCTTATTCTTACCAGCTTAGGTTAAAAACTTCCCCAAGGTACAAACTTTGCCTTGTCATTGAACCATATGTTGCCACCACCAAGTGTGTTAAACAAAGAACAGGGAAAGAGACCACAGTCTAGTTTTGGAGGAATGCGGGATTTGATGATACAGGAGCAATTCCTAAATATGTCCAAGGATGATATAAAACAGTGTTTATGGGATAAGAAAATGGACTCAGCAGGAAGTCTTGCTTCTTATGCTGATCAATATGAGCAGATCCAGACCGCCAGAGAGGCGGGGCAAACCGGAATAAAATGGGTGGAGGGAGGAGAGAGGAACAACCCTGGTCGCAGTAGGAGCGGATACCAGAAGGAACAACCTCAGACCACACCCTACTACTGGGGGCAGCCCAAGGCCCCAACGACACCTCAAGGAACACTCCAGACACCTTATCATCCCACCACACCGTTCTCCAGCAACCCACCTCGCCCCAGTGACACGTCAGCTGGAGGATGTTTTAAATGTAACGAGCCAGAGCATGTAAAGGCCAACTGCCCCAAGAGCTCCAACAGATTACAGTTCATTGCACCGGAATCACACCAGAGGTCCTCAGGCCCAGATGCTTCCCACATAAACCTCAGAGCGGAGGGAAACTGTGAGTGTGGGAAGAAAGAAGGTCACTGTGTGGAAGGACACCGGAGCACAAGTGTCGGCTATCCATCAATCCTTAGTGGACCCCAACTTAATCAACCCAGAGGCCCAAATGATGATTCAACCCTTCAAGTCAAACTCTTTTGACTTGCCTACAGCCAAGTTGCCTGTCCAGTACAAGGGCTGGTCAGGAATGTGGACTTTTGCAGTCTATGATGATTATCCCATCCCCATACTGTTGGGGGAAGACTTGGCCAATCATGTGAAGCAGGCCAAGACGGTGGGAATGGTCACCTGCAGCCAGGCTAAGCAAGCTGTCACACCTAGCTCTATTCCGGAAACTTCTACCAGGACCTGGTCAGAGGTGATGGAACCGGACCCCATGCCAACGTCAGCAATAGCAGTAGTGGATCCAGTCACAGAGACCCAGACAGAGCCAGTCCAAGAACCGGAACTGGTGGAACAAGCAGCACCAGAACCAGTACCAGCACTGAATCCAGTGCTTGCAAACCCAACACCAGAGGGCCCCACTGAACCTGCACTGGCAGCAGCAGATAACCCTACACAAGAGGCTCAGCCAGAGCCTGAACCCCAACATAGTGCACCATCAGAGAGCAGTTCACAGTCAACGGAAACAGCCCCATAACCTGCATTGCTTCAAGAGGGACCAAGCCTAGGTCCACAGTCCAATGAGGAACTGATGTCTCCAGCACCAAGGGAACAGTTCCAGACCAAACAGGGAGCAGATTAAAGCCAGATGAAATGGTGGCACGGAGCAATACACTGCCTCTCAGCTCTTCTAATTGATCCAGGTTTGTTGTAGAAAAAGGACTTCTATTCAGGGAAACTCTTTCTGGTGGACACCAGGAAGACTGGCATCCTCAGAGACAGTTGATAGTTCCAACTAAGTACCGGGTAAAGCTCTTGAGCTTAGCCCATGATCATCCTAGTGGCCATGCTGGGGTGAACAGAACCAAAGACCATTTGGGAAAGTCATTCCACTGGGAAGGAATGGGCAAGGACGTTTCTACCTATGTCTGGTCTTGTGAGGTATGCCAAAGAGTGGGAAAACCCCAAGACCAGGTTCAAAGCCCCTCTACAGTCACTCCCCATCATTGAGGTTTCATTTCAGTGAGTAGCTGTGGATATTTTGGGTCCTTTTCCAAAAAAGACACCCAGAGGAAAGCAGTACATACTGACTTTCATGGATTTTGCCACCCGATGGCCGGAAGCAGTAGCTCTAAGCAACACCAAGGCTAAAAGTGTGTGTCAGGCACTAACAGACAATTTTGCCAGGGTAGGTTGGCCCTCCGACATCCTCACAGATGCAGGAACTAATTTCCTGGCAGAAACTATGGAAAGCCTTTGGGAAGCTCAAGGGGTGAATCACTTGGTTGCCACCCCTTACCATCATCAAACAAATGGCCTGGTGGAGAAGTTTAATGGAACTTTGGGGGCCATGACATGTAAATTTGAAAATGAGCACTCCAATGATTGGGACCTAGTGTTGCAGCAGTTGCTCTTTGCCTACAGAGTTGTACCAGATCCCAGTTTAGGGTTTTCATCATTTGAACTTGTATGTGGCCACAAGGTTAAGAGGCCATTACAGTTGGTGAAGCAGCAATGGGAGGGGTTTACACCTTGTTCAGGAACTAACATTCTGGACTTTGTAACCAACCTAGAAAACACCCTCTTTAGCCCTTCCTAAAGAAACAAACCTCTTTAGCCCTTCCTAAAGAAAACCTAAAGGATGCTCAAAAAGAGCAAAAAGCCTGATATGATAAACATGCCAGAGAGCGTTCCTTCAAAGTAGGGGACCAGGTCATGGTCTTAAAGGCGCTCCAGGCCCATAAAATGGAAGCGTTGTGGGAAGGGCCATTCACGGTCCAAGACCACCTGGGAGCTGTTAATTATCTCATAGCATTCCCCACCTCCAACCGAAAGCCTAAGATGTACCATATTAATTCTCTAAAGTCCTTTTATTCCAGAGAATTAAAAGTTTGTCAGTTTACAGCCCAGGGAAGAGATGATGCTGAGTGGCCTGAAGGTGTCTACGATGAAGGGAAAAGTGATGGTGGCGTAGAAGAGGTGAACCTCTCCATGACCCTTGGGCATATGCATCAACAGCAGATCAAGGAGCTGTGCACTAGCTACACGCCAATGTTCTCAGCCACCCCAGGACTGACTGAACAGGCATACCACTCCATTGACACAGGTAATGCTCACCCAATTAGAGCCCTACCTTACCGGGTGTCTCCTCTAGCTAAAACTTCTATAGACCTGGAGATCCTGGATATGCTACAGATGGGTGTAATCCGCCCCTCTGGCAATGCATGGGCATCTCCAGTGGTTCTAGTTCCCAAACCAGATGGGGAGATATGTTTTTGCGTGGACTACCATAAGCTAAATGCTGTAACTCGCCCAGACAACTATCCAATGGCATGCACAGATGAACTATTGGAGAAACTGGGATGGGCCCAGTTCATCTCTACCTTGGAATTAACCAAGGGGTACTGGCAGGTACCGCTAGATGAATCTGCCAAGGAAAGGTCAGCCTTCACCACACATGTCGGGCTGTATGAATTTAATGTGCTCCCTTTCAGACAGGGGAATGCACCCGTCAGCTTCCAAAGACTTGTAGATGGTCTGCTAGTGGGATTAGGAGAATATGCAGTCGCCTACCTTGACGATGTGGCCATATTTTCGGATTCCTGGGCAGAACACCTGGAACATCTACAAAAACTCTTTGAGTGCCTAAGGGAGGCAGAACTAACTGTTAAGGCTAAGAAGTGTGAAATAGGCCTCAACAGAGTGACTTACCTTGGACACCAGGTGGGTCAAGGAACTATCAACACCCTACAGGCCAAAGTGGATACTATCCAAAAGTGGCCTGTCCCAAAGTCAAAGAAACAGGTTCAATCCTTCTTAGGTTTGGCCAGATATTACAGGCGATTTGTACCGCAATACAGCCAAATCGCTGCCCCACTGTCAGACCTAACCAAAAAGGAACAGCCAAATGCAGCTCAGTGGACTGAAGAGTGTCGGAAGGCCTTTAACCAACTTAAAGTGACGCTCATGTCTGACCCTGTGGTAAGGGCCCCAGACTTTGACAAACCGTTCCTAGTAACCACAGATACGTCCGAGCATGGTGTGGGAGCAGTCTTAATGCAGGAAGGACAGAATCAAGAGTTCCATCCTGTCGTGTTTCTCAGCAAGAAGCTGTCTGAGAGGGAAAGCCACTGGTCAATCAGTGAAAAGGAATGTTACGCCATTGTCTACGCTCTGGAAAAGCTACGCCCATACGTTTGGGGACAGCGTTTCCACCTGCAAACCGACTATGCTGCACTACAGTGGCTTCATACCACCACGGGAAATAACAAAAAAACTTATTTGGTGGAGTTTAGCTCTCCAAGATTTTGATTTTGACATCCAACATATCTCAGGAGCTTCTAACAAAGTGGTTGATGCACTCTCCCATGAAAGTTTCCCAGAATCAACTGGTTAAAATCATCCTTGAGATGTGGAAAATATTGTTAGTCTTTATACAGTTGGTCGTATATT